ACAGCTGTGTCTGAGGCAAACAAACACGCGTGTTCTCGAGTGGGTGCCTCCTTGAACCCGCCCCAGGTTCCTGGAGTCCCCTAACCCTGGCCTTTACGAAGCCCTGGACCCCACCCCAGGGAACACCGTGCCGAGGCCAGGGCGATGGGTGAACATACCTGGGCTGAACACAAAGAGGTTAAAGGTCGACGGCTTCCTGCTGACGGGGGCGTACCCCTCACCACCTGCAGAGAACTGGACCTCATACGTCCACAGGCACCTGGGAAGGTCAGCAGGACCGGGGCTGGCGTCCAGGTGGGGCGAGTGTAGACACCGCAGAGTTACAGCCCTACTGCCTACAGCCCCTTTTCTGACTCCTCCCGGGTCCCTGTACTCTTCCTGCAACGATGACGGGCCAGCTCGATGAAGAGAAGGGACAGGGGCTCGACTGCCACCTGTAAACGTCCCCTGTGGGCACCCCGCTCCCCCATCAACAGGTGTGGCGTCTTGGGCCATTTGTGTGGTTGTGCGAACAGCGGTGGCCAGGGTGTGAGGGGCAGAGGGCTTGGAGGACCACAGCTGAGTGACCACGTGGGCACTGCAGCCTCCGGGGACCAGACTGGAGGGCAGGGGGAGGATGAACAGAACGGGGATTAGGGGTACCGGGAATGAACCCCCTCACGCACTTGGAGACCACATGCTCATCTGACCAGACCAAGAGCACCTGCCCACTGGTCAGGGGCAGAGCCCGGAGCTGCGTCACCTGCAGGGAGAGAGGTGTCGTGACTGGGGGGTGGGCGGGGGGGGGGGGGGGCTGGGGGCCCCCGGGCGGGGGGGGAGGGGGCCGCCACTTGCCTGGCCTGGCGGCTTCTCTGGGCGTGCGCACACGTGCACCAACAGGAGTGAGGGCAGTCGGAGCTCCGGCTGAAGCGTCAGGCGGCCGCTGGCAGGGAAGGGGCGCGGCACCGTGGCCACCGGGTCCTAGGGGCAGGGACTGGTACTCGGGGCCTTGGGACCTGGGGAGCCTCCCCGCCCCGTTCCCACCCTGCTCTCGGACCTCGGCTGCGCGCATGTGCCGGAACTCCTCTGCCGAGGGGAAGACCGGCCGGCCGAGGCGCTGCCACTCGCCATGAGGGCTGCAGAACCGGTTGTCCAGGTAGAGTGTGACGTAGACGAGGCCTGCGGAGCCAGACGCTGGGGCCACGCCTCGCCGGGCCCGCCCCCTCCAGAGCCACCCCTTCGCCGGGCCCCCAGCTCACCCGGCCCCGGGGGCACCCCGTGCAGGCGCAGGGTCAAGGCGATGCTGCGGTTGGGGTGGGTGCGCGTGTCGTCGCTCGCGTAGACCAGCACCGTGGCGCGCCAGGCGTCAGCGGGGCCGGCCGGGTGGTGCGCGCTGGCCAGCACGCCCACCGTGTGGTTGCTGTCCAGCAGCGTCCCGCCCTGCCACACCTCGGCCCAGAGCTGCTCGCCGTCTAGGGGGCGTGGAGCGGGGCTGTCGCTAGGCGGCAGTCGCAGCCCCTCTGCCCTCCCGGGGCCTCGCTTCCTGCCACTCAGCCTCCCTCCCACCCCCCCCCCCCACTGCCACTAGGGGTCCCCCACCGGGAGGCGCCCCGCCGGCCACGGCTGCTGCGGCCCAGCGCGCTGGGGCGGGGAGCCGGACCGCTTGGGGCAAGAGCCGCCCCCACCCCCGGTAGGGCACGGTCACCACTAGGGCCTGGAACGACCCCCTGCCTAACCGAGCTCCGGCCCGGGTGCACCGGCAGCCCCGTGGGCGCGGGGAAGGCGGGGCGGGGGGTTACCCAGCAGGGCCAGCAGCGCCATGGCGGTGAGCACCGGCTTGCGCAGCAGCTGCACGTGCGGCGGGCGGGTGTTGTTGACCTGGAAGCGCGCCGTGAGCGTGCGCTGCGTGAAGGGGTGCGGGTGGTAACTCAGGAAGGCGTTGTCGTTGCTCAGGAGCGCGTAGCGCACGGGGGAGCTGGTGTTGGCCACCAGCAGGTTCTGGTGCTGCGCAATGACCTGCGGGGGTCCAGGGGGTCGGGATGTCCCAGGCCGCCCCCCTGGAACCCGCCCTCCCAGTAAGAAACGCCGCCCTGGGGGGAGGTCCTCGGCCGGGCCTACCTTCACCACCAGGGCCGCGTAGGTCACGTCGGCCCTCCAAGGCTGCGGCAGGGACCAGCCCACTAGCGGGTCAGCTTCGTCGTTGTAAATGGGGGTGTCGGCGAACTTGGGGAAGAGCCGCTGGATCTGTTGCACGGCCGCCTGCTCCTGCTCCAGGATGTAGATGGAACTGCCCGCGCCCTAGGGAGGCGGGCTTCAGGACCTCTGGGGCCAGCTCACGTGACTGCCGCTTAGGCGCGGGTAGGGCTGCGGCTGGCGGGGGTGCCCGGCCGGGGGAGGGGCGGGGGGCCCAGCGCTTGTACCTTCTTGTGGAGGGAGATGTAGTCCAGCCGCACGCCCAACTCTCCCGTGAAGAAGTTGGTGCCGTTGTGACAGTGGCCCAGGAGGCCCCAGCACAGCGGGGAGCGCGGCCAGGGGTGGAAGGAGTCCCCAGGGCCGCCCAGGCGCAGAGCGGGGCTGACGGCTCGCAGGCCTTCGGAGCAGGCGTCGTAGTAGTTCAGGAAGCCTGGGTGGGGGAGGGACCTCGGAATCCACACGCCAGCGCCTGAGGTGATGCTCCCGCCCCTTCTCAGCCCACAGGACCCCAGGAGGTGCCCCCCACCTTGCAAGCTCATGGACACGTTGTCAAAGTCGTGGTGGTCTGGCTCGTTCCACGTCTCGAAGTTCCACTTGGAAACGTGGGAGAGTCCGTACCTGTCTGCAGAGTGTCCCCACTGGCACGCGTGCCCCCCAGGGGCAAGGCCAAGCCTATGCCGCCTCCCAGGGAGACGGGCCCACGGTCGGAGGCTTGGAGGTGCCGACGACATCTCATTCCACGCGGGCCCACTGCACCCTGCCCGGCCTGCTGTCCCCATCCGGGGGCCCTGGCCCAGGGTTCGTGACAGAGGCCAACAAGGTGGCCGGGGTGCTGCGGGAGGAGCCTCCCCAGGAGCACCCCCCCTTTCCCGCGAAGGCCTGTGCCCTGCCCACCAACGTATCTCCTGGCCAGGAGGGAGACCAGCGCCTTCCACTCAAACACCTGCTGCTTGTCCTCAAAGTCGGTGAAGCGTTTGGAGGGGCTGCCCATCAGCTCAAAGCCTGCGACACAAGAAGGTGGCTGTCCTGCCGCCCGCCTGCCACACGGCACCCGTGCTCCACCCAGCCCGGGCTCCACCGTGCCGGCACAGAGGCCAGCCTCCCTGGTGCCTCACCAGTGTGGACGCAGAGGAGCCGGGTGGTGGGGAGGGGGCAGGACTGGCAGACAGAGGGGTGGGGCTGGCTGCTCACCTGGGAGGAGCTGGTTCTCTCGGAGAAGATCCAGGAACCCATCCAGATGGGTGAAGTTGTAGCTCAGGCCTTGCTCCACTGACCCCCTATACAAGGACACTCGATGTCAGCGCAGAGAGAAGTGGGCCCCAGGCTGGAACTGAGGCCACGTGCATGCAGGCAGGGAGCCCGCAGGGTGCCACACAGGGCTCAGATCCAGACTCCTCAAGGGTCCCTGTCTTTGGAAAACGCCAAAGGCAGAAGCCTACCAGTCATTCACAGCCTAGTATGAACTGGTGTGCCTGTGCCTGAACCCCATGCCCAAGCCTTTGGGCTCAGGCATGGCACGAGGCAGGCAGGTCTTTTGGAAAAGATACAACGGGACGGAGTAGGGGAGGACAAGGCACACTGAAGACAGCTGGCCGTGGACTGGGGAGCCATGGGAGAAGAGCCTGGTAGGACCTGGTGGGTGCCATGCCTGTGTCTTGCATCACCTGGAGGTCAGGGCTCCAGAGTTGTCTCGACAGTACTCCTCTCCCCTCTCCCACACTCCGAGAGGCAACATGGGCAGTCAGAAAAGGGGGAAGGGCGGCCTCCCCCACCCCCCCCCCCCCCCCCCCCCACACCCACCCCAGACCGGGGCCCAATTTCCTCCGGGTTCACATTCTGACAGGGGACAGAAATCATCAGGCAACTATTTGAATCTTTAAGGACACATCAGATGTACCACGAGGGAGAAGTGACAGGGAGCCAAGGGTCAGGCAGGGAGGGCCTCTCTGAAGTAACAACCAAGTAATGAGGCAGGCCAGCAAGAATGCCTCGGGGAACAGATAGGCAGCATGTGCAAAGGTCTTGGGGTAGGAATAAAGTTGTGGTTGTCGAGCAGCAGAAAGCATCAAGTGTGCCTGGGGCAGAACAGGGTGCGGGCTGTGACAGGTCACTGGAGGCCTTGTGCCCATGGTGAGGACGGGACTGACTCACAAGGAAATGGGGCCCCTTTCAGAGGTCCAAGTGGAGCACTGCCACGACTTTAAGACTTTTTTTTTTAAGAGCAGTTTTTAATAAAATTTTTTTTAATGTTTATTCAGTTTTGAGAGAGACAGAGTTTGAGCAGGGGAGGGGCAGACACAGAATCCAAAGCAGGCCCCAGGCTCTGAACTGTCAGCACAGAGTGCGACGCGGGGCTCGAATTCAGGAACCACGAGATCATGACCTGAGCGAAGTCGGATGCTTAACCTACTGAGCCACCCAGGAGCCCCTTAAGAGACCTAGGCTCACAGCAAACCTGAGGGAGGCACGGGGATGCCCCACGCCCCCTGCCCCCCCCCACAGCCTCCCCCGCGATCCACACCCCCACCAGGTGGTGCACCTGCTGGAGCTGATGCGTCGTCATCGCCCCGAGTCCAGGGCAGGGTCACCCTTGGTGGTGCATGTCCCGTGGGTCTGGACGAGCGCATGATGGCAGGCGCCCACCACCCTGGCGCCACATGGAGCTGCTTCGCTGCCCTAAAAATGCCCCAGGCTCCAGCCTCCCCGCCTCCCCCTGACAATCGATGACCCTTTTACTGTCCCCGTAGTTCTACCTTGGTTTTGAAAGGGCCCCAGGCAGAGGTGTAGTGCCAGGACTGGGTGGTGGCCACAAAGGCAGCGGGAAGGACCTACAGCAGATTTCCGGGGCGGAGGGACGTCTGCTGATGAACAGGGGACATCTTACACAACGCTTCGGACTTCGCTTGAGCAGCTAGGTGGGCAGGGGTGCAGGTGGCAGAGGCCGGCAGGGGTGAGCCCACACGGAGGCGGACATCCAGGGGTGGAGCTGGCATTGGAAGCCGGCGGCCTTTCGGTCAGGCGCAGTGGGGGTGGGGCAGCGCAGGAGCAAGCGCTGAGCCTGGGCGGGGGAGGGGTGTTGCCTAGTGAGGAGCACAGGCAGGTGGGTGGCAGGGGCTCAGGTGTGAGAACACACCTGCTCTGTGGCTCCATCTGCGGGAGAGAGGTGCCAAATGTCAGGAGGGCCTGCACTGCGCCCTCTTGTGGCGGCCGGGCTTGTCCTGCGCGGTCGGCAGTCCGGCCAGGTGGGGGGGGTCACGACGCGATCCGGCCCTGGACAGCTTTTCATCTGTCAACCTCCCATCCCACGCCCCAGCCTGGCCGGCCCAGCGTCGTCTTCCCGGACACAGCGAGGACATGGATGAGTCAACGCCCCTCCCCCCACGTCCTTCCCTCCCCCACCCCTCACTTCGTACGAGGTCAAGGCCGAGCCCGGGTCTGGCTTCCGAAGCCCACCTGAGGGACCAAGTCCAGCCAACCACGCGCAAGTGCTCCCTGCCCGTCCTGGGCCCCGCACCCTGCCTCCCCTTGCCGGCTGGCCCCTCTGTGTAGGGGTGCGTCTTCCCACCAGGGGCTCAGCAGGACGAGCTTTTGGGCGGCGGGGATCACCTCCCTCACCCGTTTCTCCCGCATCCAAAGGTCACAGCCGGTAGCAAAGAAAACTAACAAGCAGTTGGGCAAAAATTAAATGCACACAGCAGACCGTTCCAAAGTCCCACTACTGTGGGGGAGGGGGCGTGGGCCACGGGGGGTGGGGTGACCCGGTGGAAAGTGAAGGCATATGCAGGGGCTCGGGGCTTTCTCTGCACACCCTAGCAGCGGTAATCCCCGCCTGCTGAGCTTACACTGGGTAGGGGGCACCGCGGGGCTCAGATCAATGCTCCTGCACTTGGGGTGGGGTGGTACCCCGGGGGGAGCCCCAGCGGCAGAGGCATCCGTGGCCTGTCACCCTGAGTAGATATGAGTGCCCCCTTCTCCAGCCAGCCTCGGCAGCCAAGGATAATCTGGGGGCTAATACACCTGCCCCAGGGGCCAGAAGACCCGACCTCAGAGGCGACCCCTGGCCAACGAACCCCGGGGAATGGTCCTTAGGCCCCGCCGTCCGCACCTTGGTCTCCCTCTGCCCGGCCCCGTTCAGAGAGAGGTTTGAGAAACCTAATTTAGGGAGGGGGCTGAGCAGCGAGGTGAAGCGTGCAGCCCACCCCAGCACTCCCCCTGCAGCGAGGCGCGGCTCTCGGAGGGCCCGGCCTTCACTCCGCGGCCCCCCGCAAGGGTCCGAACGTGGGCACGGGGGCCGGGGCTGCGGCGGCGGCACAAAGGCCTCATTCACGCACGCGGCGGCGGGCGGCGGCTCCGGGGGGGCCCCCGCGGCAGGGCCTGAGCGCGTGCGCCGGAGGCAGGCCGCCCCCGGGGCCGGTGAGTGCGCC